TGTTTGACTTGAATGATTCTACCAAAACTCGAGTAACTTGATTGGGATTTTTTCAAATATCGAGGATTCATGGTAATGATATACGTCTGAACATATAATATTCAATAATCACAATCAAATTATTCGATATTTCTCTGCAGTGAAATTGTTCCTGATAAGGTGAGATATATAGTATAGTATAGTGTATCACCATATCTTAGAAATAGGAGATACCTTGCTAACTTACCAAGACAAGTGGGTTAAACCGCCTTCAACTTCCATGGAGATATTACCGTTTTCAAAGGTCAATGTTATGAATGAGTGTCATTGAGAAGACCTTCAGAAAAACTTTTAGTATAGGAGTTAGTACATCCAAATTATACAAGGTTCTCTTTCGAAAAGATTTAGCCTAGAAATATTGATTATATTCTTATTCAATTATAAGGTTTATTTGTGTTATTCATTCTCATTTTGACTCTATATTTGTATTTGTGGATCATAATTAGTTTCAATATCTGGTTTTGAATATATACAACCAAAACCATAAGAAGGTCAAGGCCTTCTAGATTCAGTGATGCCATTCAAATGTCTCTACAAGCCCCACCTAGTGGTCGAAAACTCAAACTTTCACTATGTTGGTAAGTTGGTGCTCTTCAAATATATTGCAGTAGATTTCAATTTAGATCAGTAGATTTCTCAAATACAATGTGTTCACGCTGAGAGTAACTCACGTTGCGATTTTGTAAAGTTTTCAGTGGGAAAGCTATTGGTCGATGAAAATATCACAATAAAAAGCGAAACTTCCCAATTATTTGACTTAATCCTAGTCATACATCTGATCGTTCAGTTTGGTCTATAATTCAACCATGAATCGAGTTACGAATGAACAACGCTTGCAAATTATTGAATTTTATCATCAAAATTCATGCTCGGTGAAGAAAGTGCATCGTGCACTCCTTCCAATTTATGGGCAGTTTCGTCGGCCTACTGAGGGAGCTATTCGGAAGCTTGTGACTAAATTTCGAACCCAGTTTACATTATTGTACATTAAACCACCAACAAGCATACGTAGAGTGAGAACCGAAGATAATATTGCGGCTGTATCCGCCAGTGTTCATGATGACCGTGAAATGTCGATTCGCCGCCGTTCGCAGCAATTGGACCTCTGTTACTCCACTACGTGGAAAATTTTGCGAAAGGATTGGGGTGTAAAACCTTATAAGACACAGCTGGTGTCTGAAGTGAAGCCACACGACCTCCCACAACGTCTAACATTTGGTGAATGGGCGCTGGCAAAGTTGGAAAAAGATCCACATTTTTATCGAAAAATTGTGTTCAGCGACGAGGCTCATTTCAGGTTGAATGGATACGTTAACAAGCAAAATTGCTGCATCTGGAGTGAAGACCAGCCACAAGCATTGCAAGAGCTACCGATGCATCCCGAAAAAGTCACTGTTTAGTGTGGATTATGGGTCGGTGGCATCATCGGGCCGTACTTTTTCAAATACGACAATGGCTGGAACGTTACTGTGAATGGCAAGCTCTACCGTGTGATGATTGACGACTTTTTGTTGCCCAAAATGGACGAATTGAACATGCCTTACATGTGGTTTCAACAAGACGGTGCCACATGCCACACGGCACGCGAAACGATGGCCCAATTAAGACGCTCTCGGAGAACAGTTTATCTCACGTTTAGGGCCCGTCAATTGGCCGCCTAGATCGTGTAATTTACCGCCTTTGGATTATTTCTTGTGGGATCTCTTTAAGGCTCGTGTCTACAGGGATAAACCAGCAACGACTGATGCTCTAGAAGCCAATATTGAAGCATTTATACATGAAATACCGGTCGATATGTTAGAGAGAGTGTGCTGAAACTTGACCTTGCGCATGGGCCATCTAAAGCGGAGGAGTAGACATTTGCATGAAATCATCTTCAAACAATAAATTGTTAAAAAAGTCACCCGTTATACCTAAAACATTTTCAGCAAACGCATCGATGCAACCTCATCCCCGCCAACAAAGCCACCTCAAAAGAAACAACCTCCGTTCAATCCCCCATCAACTCGTATCGAGTCGATAATCTTCTGAGGCTTCACTCCGATTTTGAATCGCTGTATCGGCGGTCGACAACAGATGAAGTATCTACATAGATAAGCGCTGATGAATGGGCCGTCTCAGTCGTCTTGGAAACGGACACGGAAATTCCTGTGATCTTTCAAGAGTGTGACGGATCACCGCGAATAATTCGTAAATCGATCTCGGCCTGGCGTGAGCACGCGTGATTTATCTGACGGCCAAAGAAGGACTAAGTATGCAATTTGTAGTAGATTGATGGATGGTGAGACGGAAACAGAGAGCTCCCGATGTAATTTCATTAGTTTCAGGATTTTTCCTGGTTGTCGGGTCACATTACCTGACGAAGTTTCTAACGGCGGAAGAGCTCGATAAGGGCTGTTTTCGGTATTTCTCAAGTGAAGGGCTTGAGCATCGGAAGCATATCGTTCTAAAGTAACGGAAGTAACACTGTACGTTAAAAATACAAATGATATAGCGAAAGTACATAAATGGCGTTAACAGTGGACTGTAATTTTAATTCTAATTAATTTCGATACCTGAGCATCAAAGTTACCTGATAGTTGGAGTTTTCCTCTTGTATAAGCTGCAATGGGTTTTCTCAGGAGCTCCTTGGAATGGTTTCCAGCTAATTTAACTGTTGATGCATATACTCGTTGACACAACATTCACAAAAGGGATGTTATATGCCCTAAATAGCGGTATATCGAAGAGATAGCGAACGAACTGATTATATCGTTTTCAATACGGTTGCGATTCAACTTCAAAATCATCGAACGAAAATCATCGAAAGACATCGAACTGAGAATGGAAATGTTGCCGGTTTTCCGAACAAACACTCTATTTAGAAACTACGACCTTCAAATTCATCTCCAGGCAGGGCTGCTCCTGGCTGGCTATACAAATCTACGAATTGCTATACAATTCAATATTTTTTCGTACATGCATACCACATTGACGAAAAGCACACATATTGACTTCATTTGGTTTTGCATTACGTTATTAATTCGAACGAGGACACGGTTATATATTTACAAATTTCAGTCACTTCTCCTTCGATAGTCGTATCAAATCAATATATTTGTAATAACCACTTCAAAATTATCACATACAATGCGTGTCTGCACATGCGCAAATCGCTTCAATCCCTCTTTGAATAATGCGGGAAGCTGTCACTTGTCAATTATTCTGATGACAGTGTTGGCGACCATTAATGCTATACAATTGTAGTGAAAAACATTCATTTTTTTTCATCTGTCTTTTTTTTCGTATAAATTATTTTTGTCTTGGAGCAGCACTGTCTCCAGCCATTTTATATTGAAAATAAAATTCACTACCTGCCTACCACTCAGCCTGTCAGTGCCAAGTAGGTCAGTTCAGGTACTTCACTCTGTTTTATTCGTTACCCGAATAATAAAGACCAAGATTAAACATTACTTTTATAAATACAGTTTATTTTTCTGTCTGTCCAACCAGCATGTTGCGATCTTCCGTTCTAACCTCATTCTCTCCAGTGTTGCCAACACCGTCTAACCCTCAGAGTAATAATAAGACGCTGCCTATACCAATACAATACATGTATTTTGAAACGGGTATCGTACTATCCTTTTCTGTACAACTTATGGGCGGGGGGTGGCAGGTAATGAGAGGTTATAGGGAGTTTGTTTACATTTCAAGTAAGTGGGACCATAAAACAGCGGCGGTTAGTTTAGTTGATAATCGAAGGGATATTATATATTTATAAAATGAATCTTTCATGTGAAAACGTATTCTGTTCAAATAGTTCCTATAGGAAATTTGATTAAATATTTATTAATGATTATGAAAATGAAGCCAGTTTTTCTACCACATACTAGATTTTCATTTATGTATGGCTTTATAATGAAGCGCGTGGTTTACTGGGTTAAAATTAAATTATTTCAAATGAACTAATTCATAACAATGATAAATGTTAGTTTCAAAAGTAATGAACTTTGCTCCATAAAATCAGATTAAGAAATTTGTGATTTCATTCTCAGATTTGATAAACAAGCGGTACGGTTTATGGGGTCCGATGTAAAGAATTTTCGATTAGAAATCATGAGTATTCATAATTACGATTGAGGTTTGATATGTGATTATGTGATTTCATTCAAAATTGGTATCTAGGGGTTTTTGTGGACTGACATTATGTTTTCATAATAATCATCATAGTAATCATCATAATAATCAGCATAGTAATCATCGATGTAAATGAAAAAACATGAAAAATATGTTTTTCATATGGTCATATTCATTCTGTAATCAACAGACTACAAAGGTTTCTGCTCAATGTTCAGTTTGTATACTAAATAGTTATTCTTGTGTTAAATCTGTTATTGTTCACTTAACAACTAAGTTACGTTACACAAAAAATATGATTTCCGTTTTGGGTTTTCTTTCTCTGCATATAGACAATATTCAATAAAAAATGACAACCGTCATTTTTCTAACATTTTTTTGGTTGGGATATGTCAAATTATGAAACAATATAAACCTAGTTTCAAAAACTTTATTTATAAGAATACTATCAAAAAAATGATCATTGAAAACATCAAAAATATCCCCTTTCATAATGTCGGTCCATTTTCATAATCATTAATAATAAATCAGATTTCCTGTAGGAACTATTTGAACAGAATACGTTTTCACCTGAAATGATTTCTTTTATAAATATATAGTATCCCTTCGATCATCAACTAAACCAACCGCCACTGTTTTATGGTCCAACTTACTTCCCGTGAATAAACAAAGTGATGCTGCCTTCAATGTAAGGATGAAAAAGGCCTCTATTGTATTTTGTTACCCATTCCCAAAAAACATCCACTCCACCGTCAATGTAGCACTCCAACACACTGTATACACTCCAGAACGTGTCTCACGTCACTTTCAAAATATCTGACCTTCGACTGCTTTTCTGATTCTAGCGACGCATGTCCTCTGTTCGCGCTCGCAAGTCTCTAACCTCACAAGCCGCGGTGTGTCTACAGGTGGGGGACGGCAGCGGCGATGAGGAGCCCCCAGAAGCGATGGACATGAGCTGGCCTTCGGGGGCTCGCAAGAGGATCACCTACGTGCTCCTGGCACCAATTGTCTTCCCATTGTGGCTTACTCTGCCTGATACGAGGTCGCCCAGAGGTAAGTGTTACAATGAGACTAGGCTCGATCTAAGAGGGGAGGGTCACATCATGACCCCTTTCCCAAAATCAAACACGTGGAATTCTAAATGATTAGATTGAAAATAATTTTGAAAGAGACTACTTCACGGTATTTTACGTCGGAACCAATCATAGTAGTGAGTTCAAATGTTCCTATCACCGTAACGTTAGTTAATCAGTCACTTTATAGTTTATTTTTTGGCAAACACAACATTCGAGCTGAAAGTAGCAGGCCTAACTGAAAAATTGAGAAGAAGAAGAAGAAGACATGGTAGGGAATAAAATGAAAATAGAAAGTAGTACATATTATTCAGTTAACAATTTCTTTTATGATGTACTAATCTTTATTAACTTACCAAACCACATGTTTATATCACCAGACCTGAAAATAATTAAATTGAAAACTGTTTTCCAACAAGGTACTTTTGAACGCCGGAATTTTCGCACGTAACGTCATAAATATTTTTCAAACTCCAAGGAACAGATCATCTCTCCCTTCTCTTGTCTAAGATCTGCACCGAATAGCGTCTACACCTAACCTAAAATCCCTTAGAGGCAGGTCTACTCCTGGCTATACAATTGTACGAATTCCTATACAATTCAATATTTTTTGTACATACATACCACATTGATGAAAAGCATACATTTTGACTTCATTTGGTTTTGCATTACGTCATTGATTCGAACGAGGCCACGGTTATATATTTACAAATTTCAATTACTTCTTCCTTCGATAGTCGAAATCTGTCTATCTCTGTCTTCCGTCTCATTAGAATAGGCGTGTCCCACGTGTCCGTCTGTCATAGGGCTCATAGAAGTTATAGATCACGTCGACCACAGATCACAAAACACTTAATTTTCATATCAGTCAAATGTCAAATCTGTCTAAAACTGCTGGCGCTAAAAGAAAAACATATCCTCAGTGAGAAAAGAGAAAAGACAAATTTTAAATAAATATTGATGTATGACAGTTGGTAGTTTAATCTGTTCAAGGCCTGAAATGAAATGAATAGACTGGAGTAACCAGTTATCATGTATTTGAATTGTCAACTTATATTCTGAATCACTTATTACAGATACGTGATTTAATTGTCTAGAAAAGAATCTAGTCAAACTCCGAGTTCTTCATCTAATATCTTGCCTGATAATGAACCCCATGCTCAAGCTCCGAGTTCATCTAATATCTTGCGTGATAATGAGCCCCATGCAAGCATGCTTGATTCGCAAGAAATTGTGATACTTTAAGAAAATGAATGCAATAATGCTTTAGAGCCACAGGAAATGAAAAAAAGAAAGCGAAAAATGTATATTCCCAATCCACAATCATCCGGAGATGAATTTACATTCCTCGACAAATCTAAAAAATTCCCTTTTTGTACAATTTGTTAAAAAAAATATATGGCGGAAAATATAACATGATTAGGCATTTGAATAATAATACTCACAAAAACAGTGAGTATGCGGCAAGAACTACTGCATAAATAGACAAAATATTACCAAACTCAGTGAAAGAAACAAAGTTACAATTGATTAGAGAAGTTGAATTGAAATTTTGTTGAACATGTGAACATGAAGTATCCTTATCACTAATGAATACTTTTCCAGAATTTTGCAAAAGTGCCTATGTTGATTCTGAAATTGCCAAATTGAAAAGAAAAAAACTACCCAATTAATTGTCGGACATTTAGGGCCAAATTTCAAAAATGAGATAATAAATGATCTGAGGAGAATTCATTTCTCAATTATCATCGATGAAACTACAGATATAAGCATGAAAAAGTGTCTAGTAATTCTTGTGAGATACTGGAAAAATGAATATATATATGATAGATTCTTAGATTTAATCGATACAGAGAGTGGAGCAGCTGAATTTTTAGTGCAGGTAATCAAATCAATATATTGATAAGCACCCCTTCAAAATATTCACATTTCACATACGATGGCGTGTCTGCTCATGAGCAAATCACTTTATTTCATCAATCCATCTTTGCATCATGCGAGAAACAGCTGTCACTTGTCAATTATTCTGATGACAGTGTTGGCTACCATTGGTGCTATACAATTATAGCGACAAGCATACATTTTCATATGTCATTTTCGTACAATTTTTTTGCCTTGGAGCAGCACTGCTTAGAAGTTGATTTTGCATCTTTTCGAATTTCGTGGTTATTTTCATCATTTATATCGAGTGATTTGTTGTTTCATCATGGAAGAGGGGATTTGAATAAGCTACGAATTAGAATCTACCCGCTGATGATTCAACAATGTTTTATGAGGTGCTGAGGTTAGAAATGTGAAAGGAATCAGGAATAACGTGTAGAAATAGCTTGCGAGCATTGAAATTATTGAGAATTTGCTTTCAGAGCAATACATTATGTTAGGCTGAAACAGGAAAATAATTCAACAATGTTTTATGAGGTGCTGAGGTTAGAAATATGAAAGGAATCAGGAATAACGTGTAGAAATAGGTTGCGAGCATGGAAATTATTGAGAATTTGCTTTCAGAGCAACACATTACGTTAGGCTGAAACGGGAAAATAACATTTAATTACAGCCCAAATATTTTCTAAACAAAAAGTACGGGATGAAAGCTACAGTGTTGAAATAGAAATCGATGACGTTGAAGAAATAGTTTCAAGATTTGAATGTTTTGAAGCTACTGTATCTGAAAATACATTTCCCATGGGTGGTAATCAATCTGCTGATTATATCTTTGTTTTATTCCAGTGATTGTTTTGAATGAAAATGAGATGATTGTAAACACGGTATGGTTATATAAGTAAGTAAATACAAACAAGCTAATGTTGGGTTCTATTTCAGTGTTTAGGTTTGTTCGGAGTTCAAACACACATTACGTCATTTGTATTGACCTAATCAAATATGACAATATTTCGTTAATCGTCTAAATACGAGTTCATTTTCTCATTTTGAAGCGTTTTCTCATTTAAAAACATACACGTTTTGCTAGTTAACTTTACCTGATCATCATAAATGGAAAATATATACTTAACTCGAGGACTAGAGAACATAACGACTGACCTAAAAGATTGACTCTCTACGGATATCATGAATCTTTTCAGTGAATGCATTTTTATGTCAAAATCTGAATGGAAGATCATCTTAATGTAGAGAAACATCATAATCATTGAGCTTTAACATGTTTTGGACAAACAACAGAGGAAGATTAAACTTCTTCTCGAAGATGGTCACTTGGTGATCTAAACAAGTGTCGACGTGTTGAAATAACGGTTTGGTGTTCATTTTCATGGACAGTTTCGTCCGTCTCTTGAAATCTATGTTGAAGTATACATCCTCTGGGCAATCATCGGTGACCTTCGATCCCTTCCGGGATCAGATTCTCCTCATTCCACGAAGAGACTGTTGTATTCGTTCATGAAGATAAAACTCGCGATGGAGGTGGAAAACGAAGTTTGAAGACTGCAGGAAATGCATTGAGTCTCTAACAATACATACTTTCTCCCAAATTTCAGTAATATACTACAGTAGGGATGAACTACGATGTCTAACAGGCCTTCTTACTGGTCACTGTCATTTGAATCATCATATGCAGAGACTTGGACTGTCGGAAGACCCTGTCTGTTGCCTCTGTTTGGAAAATGATGAAACAGCAGATCATATACTTTGTGCCTGCCCCGCTGGAGACCGAATTATGTTCTTACAGTTCGGCAGATCCATACTGTTACCATCTCACCTGGAAGACCACTCACCATACAAACTAATCGGCTCCGATGAGAAGCTAGGTTTATTTGGCCGAGTGTGAATAGGTGTGAGCCAAAATAAACCCTTGCGGGTTGCGGTGGAGGGTCGAGTAGACCCACTCACCCTAGACCTAGCCTTACCTAATCTGGAAATATCTATTTTCATCTCACACATGTCAATTTGAGAGTTGTAATCTCATTTTGAATTGTGAAATTCCAAAATGATGCCCCGCGTTGGGCGCCATGAAATCACCTCAAATATTCAGGGCAATTTTTGGTTAATCCTTCATCACGTCCGATGTTATTATATGTTTCTGCGGATGACGATAGAAACAATCACCCTCTTCTAATCTAACATCCTCATTTTTTCCGCTGGCCCTGTATATCGGGTTGACCACCGCCTACGATGGGTTAGCGTGACCGAGCATGGTAGGCAAATATCGATCAGCGAAAATAATAAACCCTCCTAATACTACGCCTGGATATGCAGGGAAACGTTTCAATTCATCGCAAGTGGAAGTTGCGTGTGCTCTCCTAATGAACGCTTCGTGAAGTTGCATTGACTTTTGAACTTTCCTGGAAGGTTGCACGAGCTGTTTCCATGATATATCTCGAAAGGGTTCGCACCCAGGTCTTGTTTCTTGGTTTCGTGGGAGTGATTGAATTAATTGGGAGACGCCTCCAGTGGATTGATTTTGATTCTATGAAGGGGCTAATTTGTAATTGAAATTTTGTAATTAGAAAGGCAGCTACTAAACTTGTAAGCAATTCATAATGTTTGTAATTGAATAAAAGTGCTGTGAATGCTTGAAATGTGGAACTTAAACCTTCAATAACTTTTTTGCACACATAGGATTTATCGGATTTGAAATTTATTGCAGTACCTAGTTGATTTGTCAGAATGTTTCCTGATTTAAATTTCATCTGACTGAATATGTAGAGATTTCTTCTATGCATCGCGACAATCTTTTATTATAATTTCAAATAAATGAATGTGGCTGATGTGATTTAAAGTTCAATTCTGATCTTTCCAGGGCACAAGTCATGGTATGCATCTTGTGCCTGTTGCTCACATTGTGTGATGGACCCACTTACTCTGGGAACTTAGAGGGTGGTAGATAATAATATTTTTTTACAATGCAAATAAATAATTCTTACAACCTACTACACCATTTTTTGTCTTCTTTTTAGGGTCGGGAAGTAGGTATTTGAAGGTAAAAGCTTGATTTAATTTTTTTTCTAGAAATATATTTTTTATCGA